GATGGGGCTGGGCCGACCCTTTTTGACAGCTCTACCTATATAATAATGCATCCTTTGATCCAAAACCTTGACAGTGACTTCAAAAATAAAGTCTTAGGGTGTGTTTGGTATGGACGAAAATGTTTTCCTGGAAAACAAGTACATTTTTTACTTATTTTCTCATGTTTGGTTGGTGAGTAGAAAATATTTTTTAGTGTTTGATTTATGAATAATAAATATTTTTGAGAAAATATCTTTTACTTTTACTAGAGAGAAGAAAATAATTTTTGAATGGAAAGAAAATTAAAAATAAACTTAAATTATTATTTTTTGGGGGTAGGGGGAGGGGGGTTTTAATTTATTTTTTCATTAAAAAAATTATTTTTTCAACAAAAAAATTGTAATTTGAAGTTGGAGGAACGTTTTGGAAAATGTTTTCCTTAATTTTTGAAGGGAAGTCATTTTCCTTAAATTTGAGGAAAATGAATTGATTTGGAAAACATTCTCCAAAACATTTTACCCAATCAAGCATGAGAAAATTAGAAAATATTTTCCTTTATACCAAACACACCCTTAGTCTTTGGTGACTTCAAAAAGTAATTGTGACGTTGATGCTAAACTTATTAGGCGAAATGGTCTGGTGGACCCTTATACTAGTATCAGTTTGTATTCTGAACCCTTCTACTTGCACCTTTGTCATCTGAACCCTTAAACTCAATAAAACACAATTTAACCAATCCCTCTGACCATTGACCAAGCTTATGTGTCTTTTAGGTGGCTGAGTTGGCGAAAGTGTGTGACTTCACGCATCTTAAGGCGAGTGAACAACTTTTTTAGGTTAAAAAAATATTTAAATTATGAAAGAAATATATATTTTTAAAAATAATTAATTAAAAATTTATTTCTTCTTGCCCAAAGCTTAATTGCTTTCCTTAAGCTTTCCAACTTTAGCAACTTCAACTTTGTAAGTAGATCTTGGCGAGCCGTAGATCTTCGAAGAAACGGAAGGGAATGCTTAACATGCTGATCTCAAATTTCAATACCATTCCATGGCGTTCACCGGAGAGGAAGGAAAATTTCGGTTGATTCATAGCCTGAGTATAAAGCTGAGAAAGGGAATTAGCAGCGCTACAGAAAGTCAAATACATGGTTCGATCTACCTCATCAAGGCTCGATGCTAGAGACTTCCTTTTCTTCCCCATCTTCAATCTTTCACAGGAACCGTCTCCTTCTAATCCCTTAAACTTGTCTTTTTCAACCGGTTTCGATAACCCAAGAAAATCTCAGGCGAATTTTGGGTAGATTTCGACGAGTTTCGCGGCAGAGGTTGGTGTGAAATTGTATTTGTAAGCAATTTGGGGCG